GGGGGGGGGGGGGGGGAGTGCTATATCGCCACCACCCCCAACCCTAACCCCAAACAAAAACAAAAACAACATCGTCGGCGCCAATCAAAACACCCCCCCACCTCGAACTCCTGCTCCGGAGGGAAAACGATGTCCCGCTGAGGGTCGAGGATGTCGGGATAGTCGCCCTGCTCGAAAGAGTGCCCAAACGCGAACATCCGCGTCGCGTGCACGTGCTTGTAGCCGGCCACCACCTGGTTGAACTGCTTCTCGAGCTCCTTGAAGTCCGCGTGGCCCCCCTCGCACGAAGGGAAGTGCACCACCCCGATCGCTCCAAGCACTCGTCGGTAGGCTGTTCGGTTTTTCATGTTTGGGGCGGGGGGGGTAGGGACAGTAGTCAAGCTTCATAAAATCCGCGTGGCCCCCCTTGCACGACGAGACGTGCATCACCCCGATTGCTCCAATCACTCGTCGGTCTGTTTGTCGGTTTTTCATGTTTGAGGCCGGGGGCAGGATTCGGTAGGGAATTTTAAGTCGATGCCATGGGAGGCTGGGCTATCGTGAGATGGTGGCGAGGGAGGAGGGGGTTCGGAGGAGTCATCCCATCTTCGCACGGCCGGTAGCAACCGACCCTCGCAGCCGTTCTCTCTCTATGATAGGACACAAGGGGTGTGCCAATATGCGGGAAACCCGACCGATCGTTTTGGATAGGCTTGCTGGTTGGGTCTCAGGCGTTGATTTCCCTTGCCCTGAAACTCTGGAACCCCGGGTCGGAGCTGCTCAGTGGACAGACAAGTAGGTAGACGAGGAAGCGAATGTTAACGACCATATGTGCCCCAAAAGCATCTATCTCATGCAAGTACATCTGTACCCTGATAGTCTCCATCTCCCTCCATACATGTACACCCTCATAGTCTCTTGTCTGCCTTCATACCATGTAGTGTGTACATATCTACGTACCCTGATAGTCTTCCCAGTCGCTGAGACCCCCATCTGTGGTGTCTTGGTCGATGAAGTGGAAGTTGAAGCAGCCCTCTGACCAGTTGAAGTGCTTCAGGGCGCCGTTCTGACGGTTCCAGTCCCCCGGTGCCGTCAGGTTCTGCATCGGGATCGTGCTACAGTTCGTTTGAAGCCGGCGGCGGGGGGGGGGAAGGGAGGGGCGGGGTGCTTGGATGGTGGTACAATACCTTGCCTGTTGGCCACGGGGCGGTCGGTGGACGAAAGGTAGACTAAAAGGTAGCGGACGGATGCAGGGTGTACATATGGGTAGCAGCCAGGGTAACGGTCAAAGCAAGAGTAATTGCAGTATGCACTCGCTCCGGTCATGGACTACCACCAGCCCGCCCCTGCTGATTCCGCGGGTTCGCGAAAAAACCGCAACAGTAAACAGAACCAAAACAAATGCGGCGCGGTAGGCGTTGCGTAAGATAGCACCCCCCCCCCCGGACCGA